TTAGATCTGTGTTCACGAACACTTAGTACCTCTAGTGAAAACTATTCAATAAAGAACAGCTAGAGGTACGTCCTGTGTGATCGAGGATATTAAGGCTCTTACCAAGAGGCAGTCCCGAACACAAGCTACCACTGCTAAATCCTAACTGACTTAAATTGTATCTTAGTTTATTTCTAGACCCTGATTTCTGCTCGGGACCCCATCTATAATCCAGAGATCTGTAAAATACGTTCGAATTTTGTAGTCTACTCCTGCTAAAAAATATGAATCAGACACAATATTTGAGGCAAGAGCCATTGGCCTAAAGAATAAGATCAAATCTGAAAGTATTTAAGGCCCTGTTCAGCAACTCAATATTACGGGCATTTTCGACGAATATGTTCATTTTTTCAAAAAACAAAAAGAGCATTTTTCAAAATTCAAAATGGGCATCTTCTCAAATAATCGTTTTGCAACTCAAACTTGAAAAACGTCCATACTTCCAAAATCACCTTTTTGAACATCTATAATCGCGTTTTTACAAAAGTTTCAAAAGCTGTTTTTGTAAAAAAGAATGGCCATTTTTTTTGAATTCACGTAAAATTTCTATTGAAACTGTACAAAATACTCTTTCAAAAATAGAATCGGCGATATGTATGGTTGATCATTATGTAATATGATTCGTTCTTTCGTGGAAAAGGGCGCGTTGCTATACGAATTATGAAAAGTAACGTGCATGAAAATAATGTGCACAATGACAATGTCAAATGTAGATATATGGCTATTTTGATCAGACACGTTAGACGAATCTTCAGCCGATTCAGTCCCAGTGACCTCATCTTCCTCCACAAGAGAATCCATGGATCTAGACGCGTAAGATGGGTTTGCACTCATTGTGGCTTATAGATGGTGTGGCACTTGCAGAATACGACCATACTTTTAATATTCTAACGATAATGAAACGAAAAATCTCAACAGTTAGCAGCACGAAGAAAACGATACATGGCGCGTTTTCAGAAATGGCGCGGTTTCGTTTTTGCTCTTTCTTTTTTTGGCGGTATTTATGTTTACGTAAAAAAGCTGCCGTGGGCGTAAAAATCGATGGTTGTTAATAATGGCCGTTTTTCAATGGTATATAAGGAACTCAAATATTTTTTGAGAATGATGTTGTACCCATTTTAACTATAATGAAAATCTAAAAATATAAAATCGATCTAAAATGTACTTTTACAAAAATTGACATTTTCATATTGAGTTGCAGAACAGGGCCTAACTTTCCAGTCCCAGATGATATTTGGGGTTTTTATATGAAAATAGAACAAAATCCCCAAATTTGTTCCTTTTTGATTTGTTTTTATATTTTGTTTTAAAACAAAATGACTATTTTTAGTATTGTCCTAACAAGCACAAGGCTATTGTCATATTTGTTTATGTCATAAATATGTCCTCGTCTGTCGTCTGTCGTCACTCCTCGACCTCAGTTTAAAATCGATTGTTGAATTTGACAATTTAGGAGGCTACAATTACAAAAAAAGATATTTTTAAAAACGTTCCAAGAAATTGTTTCAATGCATTGTTTTTAAACCCCCCCCCCCAACCCAAATAAATAAATAAAAACATTATTACATATCCGACTACCCCTAGAGTGTCTAACCCGTAGGGCTGTAGCCTGTAGGCCGTAACCCTATAAATCCACGGTCGTTCCTGAGGTAAATAGAGAGAGTAGTAGAGAGACTACTAAATAGTGAGTAAGATCAAATATTTACATAGGCTGGAGCCTGAAGAATCGCAAATTTTACACACGAGTCCATGACCACGTCTACGTAGTACCAAGGACAAAAGCGTTTAGAGGAAACGCAAACGGTTAAAGAACGTATGTACATTGTAGATTGTTGAACCCTGTTTCAGTGTTTTCTCATTTCTGGTTCGACAAAACTTAAAAAATTGTAGACCTCCTCATTCGGCAAATAAAATTTTAGGAGAATCTATAAAATAACAAAAAAAGCAGATAAAAACTGTAATAATTTTTTTGTGTAAACCACAATACATGTGCCATCAGCCATCAAATAGTTATTTTTTAAATTTATTAATGTAAATATATAAAAGGCTAAAAGCATAGCCCTCTAAAATTCAGACAGTATTTCATATCTCTTTTGTTGAAATTAAAAAACAAACAAACAAATATAGTATATTTTAACTATCCTCCCGACTAATTTGGCTCATCCATCTAGCTTTTTTTAAGATAATATATATTTGTATAAAGGAGTTTCTTAAAACTTTATATATATAAATGTTTTTATTTAAAAAGCTTCAAAATGACTAAAAATATGCCTTTTGTTTTTTTGTTTTTATGATTCGTTCAAAAAAAAGAATTTCACACCCCACTGTATTCTATATAGAGAAAACAAAAACCTAAATATGTGTTTTTGTTTGGTGCTGTTTTTGAAACTATGTCCATACTCCAATGAGGCAATGAACTCCATAACCTTTTCTTGTGTGTGTGAAAATTGAAAAAAGCACCCCCGATTTTAGGGTTTAGGGTTTTAGGTCAGGGTTTATTGTTTTCACAAGTTACTTTGTTTTTTTTAAACAAGAAAATTAGAATTCAGAAGTAACAAGGCCAGAAAGGGAATGCCCTGAGGGGGACCAGTGTGGGCAGAGTCCAAACAAAGACGGGGGGGATACGTGTAAAGCAGAGTATCTAATAATGAGTAAACTATGATATATATGACCAATAGTTATAGTTTATCCTTTATATTCATTCACTTTCCCCTCGTTCAATTACTTACAAGAAAAACTGTTCATACAAATATCAGAGAGTAGTGAGTATTTTGTGATTATTTCAGTATCTTTCAGAAATCAGAACTGGCCCAGGGCGCCAGGCTTTCGGGGATCAAATAGTCAATTTGTGTTTCTTTTTCAAAGAGAAAGTCAAACAACGCCAGATTTGATCGTACTGTTGAAGAGTACTCATGAATGTTTATATATATATTTGATTGTTTATTACTCTTTGTAAAAATTAGAGGATATTTTTTATCTTGCAGTGAAGTAAAATGAAGTTCTATTTTTTCGTCTCACACTCTCACAGTCTCACTGCTCAAAGCCTCACACTCAACAGTCATCAACATTGTCTTCTTTACTAAAACAAAAAGGCCGCCGCAGCGCCGCCGCAGCGCAGCAGCCACCCCAAAAGCAGTAATAGCAGTGACTGGGCTTGGCTTCGTTGGTCACTTCCTGAGTGTTGTATGTAACGTTGTACTTCTTGCGCATTTACATATTTGTGTGGTTGTATTTTGAATTAATATTTCTATTTCTGGGGTATATATCTTTCGTATTTGTGTTTGTTTTTGGTGCTCTTAATATTCTGTGTAGTTTCGGAGACTATATATATTGGACTGACGAGAGATCAAGAAGTATCAGATTCGCAATATTGTATTCACACAGATACAGTAGAACATTTATCGTCTTGATTGTAGTAGAAAATGTCCGTCATGTATGCGCAGCAAAATCCAACTAAAATCAGTCACATGCCTGTGAACGTTGATGAAATGTGGAAAGCGAGTCACGGATGTAAGGTCAATAGATCAGCAAAACTACAGCGGTTTACTGATGAAATTCAACTCGAGGTGGGTTCTACAGCTGTAGTCACTAAAGCTTATGACCATCTACTCCAGCGTAAGGTGGCATTGAAAAGAATGAAAGTGGACCACACCATGCACCACGAGATCAGAGAGTATAGAATGGGCAAGGCTATCGGTGTACATCCAAATGTGGCCACAATGTATGAGAATGTATATACATCAGCCGACGAGGCGTGTCTGGTGATGGAGTGCGCAGATGGAGGAAATCTAGTAGACATGCTGGCAAACCGCAACAAAGGACTGGGCATCGATGGGTTTAAAATTATAGCACGCCAACTGGCAGCAGGAGTTTCACACATGCATAAGAAAGGAATCGCACACCGTGATATCAAATCAGACAACATCTCATTGTCGTCGGATACTTGCAATTTCAAGCTCTTGGATTTCGGCGAAAGCCAGTTTGCAAGCGAGTATGTGGACATTTTAAAGTGTGGGACGTTAGCGTATATATCACCTGAGCTAATTTCGGAAATCGAGAGGTACAATAGTCAGTACAACACAAGGGGACTGGATTTTGATCTACTCGCTGCCGACGTGTGGTCATTGGGTATCACCTTTTATTCCATCTGCACAGCCCAAATACCTTTCACATGTGCGAGCGTACGAGATTCAGGTTTCAGGAATTATTTGAGAGATGATATCATGGGGTCGAAAAGGACATGGCGGTCCGTCGATCGATACTTGCAGACTCTATTAATACACATGTGTGATCCCGAGCCAACTACGCGCTGGACAATGTCTGAAGTTGTTGAATACTTAGATACCTTGTAGGTTTGTTGACGAAGATGAGAATCTGAGGCTGCCAGGTTGATCCTTGCGAGCTTATATACAGCACTGATACTGAAATATATTAATGAATAGAAAATATAAAATATAAAACTACATACTATAAATCTTCAATTTTAATTGCGATTGTATCACCCCATTTCACATCTCCAGGGTACTCTACGCGCATGAGCACAAGTCAGTTAGCAGCTAGATCGGCACGTGACTTATAGTGTGCAGGTCTTAAATCGTTGTGTATGGACATGAGAGTATCTTCGTGAGGACTGTCTTCTTCTACCCAATGATAAAATCTGGCTGGTCCGAACACCGGAATTGGATTGAAATTCCCTTTCTTTTGTAGTCGGACTTGAGCAATTCTTGTAGGCAGCATCTAACAGTCATAGTCAAACAAGAACAAAATGTTTATTTTCTTATTCCTATGCTCGCATCTTATGCTGAGCATGCACATGGCCACCGAGCACTTTGAAGAGCGATTGCGTATCTTTATAAACCTAAGCACTGCTCTCAATGGCGTATCCGCCTAAAATCATATTCGACGTCACAGTTTAGTTAATGTTTTTTATTCTATCCAGCGATCGTAGCATCAACGGCTACTGTACTGGCATTGCCTGTGGTACACGATGTGTTTTTTATTCTCTGTAGCAAAGGACCGCACAACCGGGGGTAGGTATTGGAACTCCTGCAGCATAGATAAAGGAAGAGATACGACGGGCACAGTTAATATCGAGACCGATGCCACCAGAGTTTAAGATAGATAGGTGGAGAGATATCTAAGTGCCACCCACAGCACCCTTTCTCTCTGAAACCACTGACGTGTGCCTGCCTACGTGTTATAATAGTGTAGAACATACACGAGCCAAGTGGCCTGCGATATGAGCTCCGGTGTGTCAGCGTACAAGTGTTATGCGGTGGTGGTGAGCATGGTGTTCGATTAGTGTGGGTGTGTCAAGCTACAAGCCTTCCCACCGTAAAACAAGCTCGGATTAGATTATAGAAGTCATATACGACTTGTAGGGTCAAATTACTGGATAGTGGAAAACTGGACTGGTATTCCATATGTTGGGCTCTTGGGCTGGGCACGGACATCAGGTAAGAGTTTCTCTGAACGACACTCAATTGGCAACCTCCTTCCTCTGATTCATATCGTAGTGTGTCATACATAAACTGTACATATGTATATGTATACTTGGCGGGTTGTCAACAGTTCGCAAACTAGTAATACGCTTGTGTATGCCCAGCACACACTGCATGGACACATTCGCTATTTTTGGAATGTGGGGGAGCTTGAGCGCATCGCCCGCACTCGACCATATCACATAGGCCACATGCGAATACAGATGAATGCATCCTGAACGAACACAAGCGAACGCAGGGGGGGGGGTGGGGGGGGGGGTGAGCGCTGAACAGATATTATATAGTGGATAGATTCGAACTCTAAGTGGACACACTGGCATTCGGCGTGGACACGCCAGTACCAGGTTTAGACTATGAGTGTATGATAGAGCCTCGGCATTGAGTTATATATATGCATATATACATATACATATACATATACATGCACACATACACACATACACACACACACATATATATATATATATATATACGTACATGCATACATACATACATACATACATACGTACACATATACATATACACACACACACACCCACACATATATATATATCAGTCTACCGCTGTGTAAAGCAGTCACTGACCTCTGAATCGTAGCACAGGTGTCTATCGCATCTGGAGCACTTTGCAGTGAATAAATTGTGATAGCTGTGGAGCCATACCTGTTCAGGACAAAAAAAAGTAGATCGCTTTAGTTCTGCCACAGATAGAGAGAGTGAGAGAGCATTGCGTTGGAACACAGACCAAACACAGAGATAATGGAATACGAATACGGACCGAAGATGCTGGTGCACGTGCGAATGAACATGCCACAGATATCGGATTACACCTCAGTCTTATGACCCAAACTAGGAACTGTCATCAACTAAGTAGAGCGCACCCGTGTCGCACTAATGATACAACAAGGCAGCAGTGTGCATGCAGCCAGCTCAGTTTAGCCACACCTGCTGTTGACATAGCAGCAAGTCCAACACTTTTGATCAACGCGTAAACACATTCAAATATGGACAGCATATGTCCAGAGGTATACTGATGTGGGTCGACATGTGTGGGTAGGCGTATTTGAGAGCTTATGTGTAGATCTCCATATGCTTATCGAAGTGGTGTGCGATTCGAGTACGTATACCGTGCATGCTGCCATAGCAACAAAGACATACCAATTGAATAAACCCTAAACCAACGCTGAATGAGAATTTTTTTACTGTGCTCGAGTCCTCACAATTGACAGCCATCAAACAGGCCGCGATACAAGACAGTCTAAGGCTAACAGTACATTCGCATACACACAGACAGATGCACCTAACAATACACACCCAGACCCAAACGGACCTGAAATCGGTGCCAGTCATCTTATAGTGCTCATTGGTCCATTTCGTACAAACACACGAAGTTCGGTACCATACATAGTAAAATGAGTGATACAAACAGAGTTACCATGATATACTGTGGCATACCAAGAATGACGAAAGGACTGCTTCCGGTTTGTGTGCGGTGAAGTATAGAATCGCGGCATTGGCTTGGTCCGTCATCCTGCGAAACACGCGATGTTCGGAACTATGCCACACGCTCACCTGGGTACACAAACAGAGGAGCGTGGACACACATATACACACACATACACACATACATACATGTACGCACACATGCACGCACACATAAACGCAATCATACACGCACACATACACGAACAAACATACACACATACACAGACAAATACATGTACGCATACGTACAAACAAATCAAAAGAGAGACATACAAAGACAAACGAGAACGTGCAACGAAATCGATTACACGATACGAGTTGATAATCAGAAGGGTTAGTTGATGAGATATGTGTGACAAGGCAGTAGATCCTCGTAGATACAAGGGTTCGTAAGTACTTTCAGGGCAAACAAATGTTCACAAGAACAGACCCGCACGAAGACGTGTACGTCCATATGCGTATACAAGGAGCCAAGTACTGTGCAGAGAATAAGTCAGCAAACCACGAACCCATGCCATAACTCTAGCTACGTTAGGTGTGTGTGTGTGTGTGTGTTATTGGCATGTCATCCTGAAATTGCGGACTTCAGAAGAATGTTAGGGGTGTTCATATACCACACGAGGATGGATATACAACCATAACACCAACACAATGGATGTTGATTGCATGACCTATGCATCCGCATATGAGATATAAAGCACAGATAGAAGCACACACTTGCGCGTCTTTGGTTGTTATATACCATAGGGACATGGGTGAACTAGCGAGAGTACTCGTAAGCTGCACTTCAGTATACATATTTGAACTGTCTCTGGACACACTCGCAATCAGACGCTGTCCCGGTAGAAAAGCATTGCGTACGTCCAAAGCATTATATTTATATATATATATATATATATATGTATATATATATATATATATATATAATAGTCGTGTTATATATATATATATAGTCGTGCTATATATGTATATATA